TCTTCCACAGTGATCATCTTTTGGCCTTACAGACTTTCTGGCAGGTTTCCTGATTTTGATGTGTTAGAAGAATTTTGACTTAGTTTGTAAAGTTATTCCGCAGCCTTTTTTGGCCTAATTAATGGTTTTACTTTAGCTTGGTCCAGCTTGCTGTCCAGCTTGCTGTCTTTTTTTCTTTGCTTGAAGGAATAACATTCAGGTTTTGAGTTGGGTGGTGGTTTTTTGTTTGTTTGTTTTTTTAACTTAACTGTGGTTCCTTTATTCTGTTCTAAAATCTTTTGCTAATATTCCCTATGCTTACACTAAGCCTCTGGTGCAGTGTCTTTACACAGTCTTAATGCCACTTGTAAGCATTTAATTTGCCTTTTCTTTTTAATTTCCTTTTAACAAGCTTCTTTCCTTTTAGACAGCTCCCTCTTGCGAGTTAAATATTGCCATAGTGCTTTGGAGGGTGTTTATTTTGTCGCTGTTGAAAGGAAGCCGAGTTTGAGTGCAGTGCAGAACTGTTCTGTAATATTGATCGTGGTCACACTGTGCTGCTCTAGGTCTAAATCACAAATTGTGCTGCCTCTTATAGGTGCTCCTCAGAAAAGAGTATTTATGGAATCAAAAAATGCAGTCTGTGCATCATCCCTGTCATGACGCTTATTTAGCCTGCAAGGGCATTGTCGAAACTTCTGAACTGTTGTATTTTTCCTGCCTTTGCAGCATCTCTCTTTCTATCTTTTAACACTTTAATTGACCTTCTGGGTTTGGTGGTCTTCTCTGTCAATATTTGTGCTTACTTATGGAATTTTATAGGGCTTCTCTATTCCTGTTGCTGACTCTTAGTTTTTTTTAAGGTGGAGACCTGCTCCTCCATTGATCATTTATTTACAATTTTTATGCTGATACCGCACTGATTATCTTCCTTCAGCAGACTCTTAGTATACAAACTGCTAACCTTAAATTAGACATCCCGTTTTCCATTTCAAGACTTTGAGTACATTTATGCCATTTTATTAGCCACTTGCTCTTGATTTTTGCCTCTTCTTGTATACACTTGAACATGATGTTGTTGTTGGGACTGGTCCTTGACAAAATTCAAGCAGGAAATACATTCCTTCTATCCTTTATCAGCCTTTAAAGAATAAGCATCTGAACAGAACTTTCTGCTGTAGTTATTGACTTTCATGGTATGCTGAGTAAAAATTACCCCAAAACCTTCTTAAAATAAAGTGCCAGCAGCCTGGTTCCTGAGGAGAGATTCTCAGAGACCAGGACAGTGTTGAATGTTTTGGGTGCAGAGATGTTGAATGGTGTGCCGAATTCTGGGGACTAGATCCTATTTATATAAGTCTTGGATTCCGTTCTGCCTATGCAAAGGTTGGAGATGCTAATTTATATGCTGGTGAGAGAGCCTGCACTACGAACCCTAATGACTGATGGTCTCTGTAAGGAGGGTAGCACAGGCTGTTGCAGAACTAACCTTGGTTTTACATTGCTTTATTTTCCCAGCTCTGATGTGAAAGGTGTGGAGAAGGGAGAAAAGTATCTTTCTAAGTTATCTTTAAATTTGTTGGTTAACTGGTTAAAGTGTTGTCTGTTGGGCTGATGGTGATGTGGGCATTGGCCTGCTGAGAACCAGGCTAAAATCTCCTTGTGATAGGTAAAGTATGTGCTGTATAATACTCATTGTGTTCTTGAGAGCTTGACTTTGTTGCTAAAAATGGTATGAATAAACCAAGGCCTGTGTGTATCCTCCAGGAAATCTTCTATTTTAGTCAAGTCAAGGGGCTTTATCTTCATAGGATTAATAACATCAGTTGCTCTGAAATATAAAATATAGCTCCTATTGCTGTGATAGCTGGGATTTTTTTTCCCTTCTACTGCCTAGTCCTTCTCAAAGGTTTAACAAACCCTAATGGATAAAAGTGGATGGACCACTCAGTCGATAAGGAATTGGCTGGATGGTTGCACTCAGAGTTGTGATCAACAGCTCGATGTCCAAGTGGAGACCACTGATGAGTGGCGTTCCTCAGGGATTGATATTGAGGCCAGTGCTGTTTAACATCTTTGTCGGTGACATGGACAGTGGGATCGAGTGCACCCTCAGCAAGTTTACTGACAACACCAAGCTGTGTGGTCTGCTTGACACACTGGAGGGAAGGGATGCCATCCAGAGGGACCTTGACAGGCTTTAGAGAACCTAATGAAGTTCAACAAGGCCAAGTGCCAGGTCCTCCATATGGGTCAGGGCAATCCCAATCACAAGTACAGGCTGGGCAGAGAATGGATTGAGAGCAGACTGGAGGAGAAGGACTTGAAGCTGTTGGTTGATGAGAAAGCTCAAAATGTGCCAGCAATGTGCACTTGCAGCTCAGAAAGCCAACCGTATCCTGGGCTGCATCCAAAGAAGCATGGCCAGCAGGTCGAGGGAGGGGATTCTGCCTGTCTGCTCTTATGAGACCCCACCTGCAGTACTGTGTTCAGCTCTGAGGTCCCCAACATAAGAAGGCCATGGATCTGTTGGAACGGGTCCAGAGGAGGGCCATGAAGATGATCCGAGGGCTGGAGCATCTCTGCTATGAAGACAGGCTGAGAGAGTTGGGGTTGTTCAGCTTGGAGAAGAGAAGGCTCCAGGGATACCTTATAGCAGCCTTCCAGTACCTAAAGGGGGCTTACAAGAAAGCTGGAGAGGGGCTTTTTACAAAGGCATGTAGTGATAGGACGAGGGGCAATGGCTTTAAGCTGGAAGAGAGTAGATTTAGATTAGATCTAAGGAAGAAATTCTTCACTCTGAGGGTGGCGAGGCACTGGAACAGGTTGCCCAGAGAAGTTGTGGATGCCTCATCCCTAGAAGTGTTCAAGGCCAGGCTGGATGAGGCTTTGAGCAATCTGGTCTAATGGAAGGTGTCCCTGCCCATGGCAGAGGGGTTGGAACTAGATGATTTTTAAAGTTCCTTCCAACCCAAACCATTCTGTGTTTCTATGTCTGAGCTCATGCCTGGGTTACAAGGCTCTTGGGTCGTTCTGCTCTGTATGTTGACATGCTTGGATGTGGTTTATGGGCAACATAGTCCTCACCTTTCTCGGTCCTTACTTTCCATACCTGTAGAGTAATAGACCCTTTCCAGGGAGTATGGAGTCATTGAGCACTGCAGAATTCTTCTGTAAGCTAGCAGTTGGCTAGTGGTGCTGTCCTGCTGCTGCTCAGTCACCAGTGAGGCATAAACAGTATCTGATCCAGTGGTGCTAATTGAGTCCTATCGATCTAATGTTTCCTGTAATGAAACAGTACATGCAATGGGCTTAATTAGACTATATCCTTATTTCCATGTTTTGCATACTCCTGCCTCCTCTCTTAGTGTGATGAGGGCAATGGCTCTACAGAGGCTGTATTGGTATATAATGTGAATAACCACTATGGGTGCGATTTTTTTACGCTGCTAGGCTGTATCGGTTCATTTAGCACTCTTCTGGTACTGCTAGCACTTTCCTGTCTCCAGGCGAGTGGTACAGCCTGCAAAAGAGATTGGAAATCTCTGTTTCAAGCAAGGATGAGAATGGATGCATGGCCACCTGGCATCTCTCTTTCTTGGGTGCTTTCTCAGTCCTTCTGTCTATTGGGGGTTCCTGTGTGTGTGCCTTGTTGCTGTCCACAACAGCAAAGATAGGCTTAAATCAGGAAACAGCAAAAATGAGGGTGTTGCTGAACAAAAAATTGCTTTTGCCCCAAACAGGGGTGAGTGTGCAGAGCCTTGAGAGCAAGCAAGAGCTGAGCTTGAGCACGGCTCTTTTTCTGATGTCTGAGAGGGCTGCAAGTGCTGGGAAGGGCCAGGGTAACAGGTAAATACGCAGTGCTTAGGAACCAAATGGTGATTGAAATGCAGCCACAAGCAGTGAAACCCAAAGCGGAGGGGTGAAGTGGCTTTTGTAGGCTCCTCTTGTGTTTAGAGTACTCACAAATATGCTGAGTGCACTTTGGCTCCCACTTGATGAAAAGAAGAGTGTGCTCCTAAGCACCAAAGCAGCTATTTCTTCTCTCTCCCATTTGAGGGTGGCACTGTAGGTCTGTGCCACTGTCAGTCCCGCTTACTGGTGTGGCAAAGCCTCTGCTGCTACAGCTCCTTGTCGCTGTGCTGGAGAAATAGCTGTGGAGTTAAAAGCCCTGATGTCCTCACAAAAGTGTGTACTGCCACTGCAGGAGCTCCTCAGCTGGGCATGTGGGGCTCTTGGCACAGAAGAGGCCAGAGCTGCAGGGATGTCTTCTTGCAGCCCTTCAGAGCATTTTATCCAGGGGCAGTTGCCAAGCGCCATTACGCCACCTCAGTGTTTAGGATACATGCCATCAGTGCTTCTTTCCTTCTCAACGATGTTTTTCTAGGTTGTCCCAGTGATCACAGGGTGAGCCTTGACTGGGGAGGGGCTCATTAGGAAATGGTGTCATAAAGTGACTGAGCCGGCTTAGTACCTCACTCCGTAGGAGTGGGCAGGTTTCTGTCTCAGCCCTTGTGCTTGTCTGGCTGGAAAAGAAACTAGTTCAACTCATTAACCCAGCAGAGAATTGTGGTGGGTTTTGATGGTCTTGTTTTCTGCCATTTTTAATACGCAAAATTGAATTACCAGATGATCAGGCCAGCAACAGAGCAGGTGCGAGATAAGGAGTGGGATATGTGTGTGGACAGGAAGATGCATGCATGGGGGAGGACAGGGGAAACAGGACCTCCACTTCGATGGAGGCAGGTATTCATTCTGCTCAATTCTATTGTAAACCCTTGCCTTGAATGTCCTTACAGTTGTGAGTGCAGTGGGTGGACCTCTCTCATGGCCTAATTGTAATGGGTAGCTAGCTTTTATCTCTTAATTGTTGGCTGGTGAAGAAGATTTTCACCTGGATTGTGAAATTGGATTAGGCTCAGTTGAACCCTTACTGGGTATCAGGGTGCTGAGCTGTGGGGTGGTAGCGGTGTTGTGGTTCCATGTCACATCTCTGTGTGTCTCCTCTTTCTCCTGCTCAGCTCGGCATCGCTGTGGGCTTTCTGGTCCCTCCGGTTCTGGTTCCCAATGTGGAGGATGTGGAAGAGCTGGCCTACCACATCAGTATCATGTTCTTCATGACTGCAGGCGTGGCAACAGCCCTATTCATCCTGGTCGTCATAGGTAAGGAGGTGGGAGTGTGTACATGAAACCAGGTGAGGTGAGACTGAGAAGATCAGCCTAGGTGTGTCAGGGTCCTATGTGCTAGGAAATGGGCTGACGAGGTCATCTGGGGATGTGTCCTAGCAGGATATGGTATTGCACGACGCTGTCAGCTGCATGCTGCTTCAAGCCCTTGATGAACAGCACATGTAGAAGGGAGTACAAGAAGTTGTGAGTGAGCCTGCTAAATTGTTCATTTCATCCTTTGATTGCCTGCGTGGCATGAGTTAGTCCTTTAAAAGCCAACAGAAATTTTCCAAGGTTCGCAGTCATCTTGCCTGCGAACAAGGTGCTGGGCTTTGGCTTATGTCTTGGACCTGACTGCCTCTTAAGGCTGGGGAGAAAGAGGCAGGTTATATGGCATCACAGGAACAAGCTGTTTCCAGCAGAATAAGAGGTAATCATAGAATCATAGAATGGCATAGGCTGGAAGGGACCTCAGAGATCATCTAATCCAACCTCCCTGTCATGGGCAGGGATGCCTCTCAACTAGACCAGTTGCCTCTCAACTAATCAGTTACGAGTGGAGAGAAGGAAGCATTAAGAACAGTAGCAGGACACTAGAGGTGCAATTCCCCTGCTTAATGTGTGAAGTGGAAGCCAGATCTTTAGCATGAGAGATTGGCATACTCACTGGAGAGCAGAGCTTGTCTGCTGAACTCCATGTAATTTTTTTTCATAAGCTTCTCTTGCCAGCTTGTTCATGTTGCCTGGTGGCTGAATCAGATGTAGACTTTAAAGAATCTGGGGCAGGGAATAGACAAGGTACAAAAATGGCTGTCTGGCACCTGGTACAGCAGTATTGCTTGTGACCGGGATTTCTGGATGCTACTTTAATGCTAGTTAGGGACAGCTGATGGCTTGGCCGGCCTGAGAAGTGCCAGGCCTGAAATAAAACCTGGCATAGGTCGTTGTTCATTGGGCACTGCAGGGCAGCAGGCCACCTTCGCCAGCTGGCTTTTTCCATTCCACTCTTGCATTTGTAACTCCATGCAACACTTTTGCGGCTGACTGGCCATTCCCCTGGAGACAAAACATTATTAGTCCTGAGAACTCTTTTGTTGCTGCCAGCCACTGCCTACACAAAAAGCTAACTGAAGACAAGGTGTTTCCCCAGTGGCAGGAGTTATTGTTGGAGAGACCTTGTTCTCTCCTGTTCCTGGAGGTCCTGGTTTCAGCTGGGACAGAGTTAGTTCTTCTTCTTAGCAGCTAGAAGAGCTCTGTGTTTTGGTTTTAGTCTGGGATTTGTTAGGAGAAGAATGTTGATAGCGCACTGATGTTTTTAGTTGGTACTGAGACATCAAGGACTTTTCAGCTGCCATGTTCTTGCCAGTGTTCAGGAACACAAGCTGGGGGGGTCACAGCCGGGACAGAGGGTCCACAACTTCCCTTATGATTCGAACTTAGATTTAGGATTTAGGGCCAAATTGGCCAATGAAGTATTCCATATCATGCAGCGTCATGCCCAACATATAGGTGAGGGTTGCCCAGAAAGAAGCGGCTTTTCCTCTTCCTTGGACTGCTGTCTCTTTCACTCTCATTTCGGGCCTCTCGTTCGTCTGGGATTGCAGTGTGGGGATTTATCTGTTTCGGGATTGTTAGTCTGGGCCAGGCTGGGCTTTGGTCACTGGGTGGTGATCAATTACACTGTGCATCACTTGTTTGTATATGTTATTACCATTATACATATATATATTCATATATTATTATTATGAGTATTAAATTGTTCTTATGTCAACCCATGGGTCTCTTTCTCTTTTCCTCTTTAATTCTCTTCCTCATTCCCTGGAGGTGGGGGGAGGGCGAGTGTACGGTTGTGTGGCATTGAGTTGCTGGCTAGGCTAAACCACTATGACGCTGAATTAGTTCATGCATGGAGATCAAAGCTTAAGGACAATGGTGTGTTTTGTACACTTGGCTTTACCAGCTCTGCTGCCGTCCGTCAAGTGACTGTACCCGCAGTGTGTGCATAGGCTCCTGTACTTTTTTGTCTGGTTTCAGTCTTCAAGGAGAAGCCCCTGCACCCTCCGAGCCGAGCTCAGGCCTTGATCCTGTCAAGACCAACAGAAGAGTATTCCTACGTGCAATCAATCCTTCGTCTGCTCCGCAATGCCAACTTTTTGCTGCTTATGGTCACTTATGGTAAGGTCTGGCCTTTCTTCTGTGCAGCTACTGCTGCTAGACATGCTTAGCTTCTCCCTCCCTCTCCGTGCTCTGCTGAGACAGTAACTGGTCTGAGTTGTTTTAGGAGAGCATAAGGACAGCTGTGTTGCCACAGACCAAGAGTCCTCCTAGCCCAGTAATCTCCAGCAGTGGTTACAGACAAACACCTGGGGAAGAAGAAGAGCAAGGCAAGCATGCAGACAACAATATGCCCCCATTACTGTTCTCCCAGTCTTTGACTGTTTTCTGTTCAGGGGATTTTCTTATTCTGTTTTCTTTTTTCCTAGTCAGTTAACTACTTGCAATGAACTAATCTAAGTTCTTACTTAAGAAATACATGGAACTGTGTCTGAGTGTAAGTCACAGCACTGAGTGCAAGTCATTTCCCGAGGCAAGGGTATTGCTGCCAGGCATCCCAGTGGAGGTCACTTGGAGCACGCAGTTGTGCAGAGTGCGTCAGCTTCCTTGGCGGTCCCTATGAAGCAAATGGAAGGAAGGATTGGAGAACATCTTCCTTTGCCATCTGTCCTTGCACACCGAGTTTGCTGCTTGCTTCAATTCATCAGTCTTGGCCTGTTTCTCTGAGGGCGGTGCGATGTGTTGAATCTGTTCCTGATGCTGAATTGTCATAACAAAAAGTATTTTTCTCTTTAGCAGAAAGGCCATTGCAGTCTGTGCCTGGCTGTGTAATAGGATATACTGTAGCCAGCTAGCCTGCAGGGAGTTCTGTCCTCACTTCCCACCAGCTTGCTGTGGAAGCTCCTCAGGGGGAAAGTTAAATAGTGCTGGAAGTTCTGCTGTTCTTCCTAAAAGGAACTGGTGGATGAGTGGCCAGGTTGGAGAAAGTGAGACAGTGACTTTGTACCTGCTGAGGGTGCTAATGGTCTTTGGAGTTGTTGAAATCTCTTGTCCCTTCTCAGTGCAGTAGTCTTCAAGAAATCCCCCTCTCAGATTGCCCTTAAGCTCTGCTGGTTTGCATTGCAGTTGCCGTTTTTTTTTTTTTTTTTTTAACTTGTTTGTTTGTTTTGGGTGGGTGTGTTGGTTTTTTTCTTTTTTTTTCTCGTGGTATGTGATATCCTCTCAGAAAATGGAGATAGAAACAACTGTCAGGCAGACTGTGGCTAAAAGTTGGATTGTGTCATCTGCTCGGTTCACACTTACGCTTCAGGGAAAAGAAAGGGGAAAGCATTTGTTCTAATATGCATAAACAAGTCCTAGAGGAGAGAGGGGGGCTCTCAGTACCAATAGCATGTTTAGAATCTGATCTCCCTGGGACAATTCCCTTCTGGCAGTCACAAGCAACACGGAAAGGCTGTTCAGTGGCTCTCATAATTCAGCCTCTCTTCCTGCTGGTCTGTGCATTTATTCTGTTCCTCTCTCTGTCAGCCTCATGTCAATCTCTAGCTTGACTTGAGATGGTTACTCAGAGAGGGAACTATGCAGTGAAACTTTTTTTTTTGACTAGTCTGGCTTTAAAATGGGGACAGTTTTTCCTACTCAAGTCAAAAGTTATGTCGGCCAAGATTTAAGACATCTGCAGCCACATGAGTGCAACTGAGTCATCCTCCCTAGCTAACACAGATACCTGCAGCCTCTTTTAGCTTTTGTGTTAGCATAGTGTGTGTTAGGGGAGAGAGTGGTAAACCTGCTGCTTGTTTATCTCCCCTGACTGTAGAAAGAATGGGGGCCCTTATGTGATGCCGGGTCAGAACAGGTCTCCAGATCTCTAAGGTCTTGAGATTACCAGCAGCTGGCCAACTCCTTTCTTGTGGTAAGACTTGCAGTGCTGGAAACATTGGTGGCACTGCAGCTATGTTAGTGCTAGTGAACTGTTTTTCAGGAAAACTGTCAGACAGTCTTTTCCCAAAGGCTGCTGATGTTGTTTCTGTAAAGCTGAGGCATAACATGGAGCGGGCATTAAGAAACTCTGAGTTTATTGGATTGGGCTCTGCACTGGAAAGCATGTTGCGAGGCAGGAAAAGGGTGGGAAAGCCTGGGAGAGGCTGGTAAAGTGGGAGTGATGAGACAGCCTCAAAGAATCAGTGTTTGGAAAGGTGATGGGGCAGTGAGGAGAAGGCAGGGCAGTGAGATCTGCATAAGGAACCATTGTCCTGGAGGACGAAGAGGGTGAAGAGGAGGAAGACCAATAGTCTGGCATGTAGGCAATAGGCTGCTTAGCTGTAGAAGACTTAGGTTCTAGTGTGAGGCTTAATAAGGGCTCCTTTTGGAGCCGTAGGCAATAAACTTCCCCCTTCTGTCCTCTGTAAAATAGAGGAGACACTGTGAGTTCTCAAAAATGTTCTTCTACAGCACATTACAAGCAAACCATGGTAACTAGCTCATGAATCAGGTGGGGCTGGACCTTTAGATGTCCTGCTCCCAGCTACTAGTTCTGGTTTTCCTCATCCATGTGGGCAAATGGGCACTGCCCCATTGGAAACAATCCTTGCCTGTTTTATGGGCCTTCGAACAGCTGTAATTCACTGAGAAATGTCACTGAGCGACTGTGAAGTGTGAAACGCCTACAACTTTTGCCAGCCTTCACAAATGCAAATTCGGCACATTGTCTTGATTCTTAGAATATTTTGCCTGACTCTGGTGCCAAATGTTGCTGCCAACTCCGCATCGATTTCTATCCAGCCTGGGAGCAGAGGCCCTTCTCTCTTGGAAACTGAATGAATCACAGAGCTGCTGTGAAGGTTGTGTACTGACAGCATCAGCTACCAGAGCAGCGTCTGGCTGCCCTCACAAGGCTGCTGTCCTCTTGGCTGGGTGGGAAGTAGAGGTACACAAATGACTGGTCTATGTTTATGCCCAGGTTTGAAGTGAAGCAGTAGTGGGTGGGTAGAGGGACAGTGCTGATCTGCCACACTCCCGTGTCCTGGCACTGCAGTTTGTGGTGTCTCCTAGCAAGCAGGGTGCTACAGAGGTGGAGATAGGATGAAGTCAAATTAGGATTTTGTGAGCTGTTTTGCCATAGCCAAGTGTTGCAAAGAGCCAGCTTTCAAGGCTGGAGGGTGCCTCCTTGCTGTAGGATCTCCAGTTGTTCTCCTCCCTCTCTGGCTGCTGGCCCTGCTGGTGTTTCCAGCCTTTCTGAGTAACTCTTGGAAAAGACTGAGTGGATTCCTCCTGCCTAAAGAGCTTGTCACTCAGCTTACTAGCCTCTCCTGTAACATCTTGACACATGCTTTTGGAGCAGGGAGCGTTGTCAGAGGCAATCAGCTTATTTGGGATCACTTGTTTAAGGTTCTTCACTTCTTTAAGATTCTTTTTCTGACCATGAAGCTGCGTCAGATGTGTATGTGAAGGAAGTGTGATGTCCCCTCCAGCTGCCAATCTTGTGGCTCCTCAGAGTGCTTCATGAGCTATGTAGGGCAATGGGTATCCAGCGTCCCACTGGAGGACTGGGCTAGCCACAGGATCGCTGATTACTTCAGGATCAGGGGAGCTGGAGGACTTCAGGGTTAGGGGAGCTCAGGGTTTAGTTCCCTTTGTCAAAGCTCTGCCTGCTGGACTGCACTTCTGTGTCATGTGTTGTGATGTTTCTGCTTTTAGCTGAGGCTGAAAGAAGAAAAGTAGGAAGTGGGAACTTGACATGTATCTGTTCTGTCAGGATTTCAGGCATCTGTGCCAGAGTTTTTAAACCCATGACTCCTTATGGAGCCTATAGATGTGTGAGTTGCAGTGGTGAAATCTATGTCCCCATCCCTCCCCCCACCAGGACTTCAAGAGAAACTAAATGCAAATGTAAATGACTTTCTGAGAAGAAAGTTGCGCTGACTGTTACAGACCTCATCCACCTGGGGAAGGTTTCTCAGTATCACCCAAGGTGAGAGTGTAGCCGTTGCGGTACTGCTGGTCCAGCACCCATGTGGATGTTCTTGTCTACTGTAAGCAAAGCTCTTGGGTTTTGTGCCCTTTGGGAAGGCGTTTAACTTAACCAGAGTTGCATGTAAGCTGAGGCAGACTGTCTGAACGGTGCTTGACCAGTATCACCCCAACGGTTTCCATTCTCACCTTGGGTGATACTGAGAAACCTTCACCAGGTGGCTGATGCCTGTAACAGTTAATCTAACTTCCCTTTCAGAAAGACAATTACTTTCACAGTTGGTGTTTTTTTTCAGGCTTCAGTGACATCTTTTAAAATGCAAGACTTTTCCCATGCAGACACACACACCAGGTGCCTGGGGGAAGTGCTGTCTGTGCTTCACCATCAGCTCCGCTCCTACTTGCCTTCTGGTGTTTCTTGGCTTGGAGAGGATTTTTTTACTAGCTCTCAGCAGGAGAGTGCTATCAGACTCTTCTCTTGGAGGAAACCACATAGGTCAATGGCACTGCTATTAATTGAATCCTAGGTCTTTGTTAAAGGTGTGATAGTGAGGCAGGTGCTTTTGCTGCTTGACTAGAGGGAGGAGAAAACTCCAATGCTAAAGATGGATCTGGCTGTGAGGGAGGGTTGAGGCCCTATGAAGGACTTGCAAGACCTTTCAGTACCAGAATTGTGCACAGCCCTTCCTCTACCTGCTATGGTAAGAACCATCCTAAAACTGCAGGGTGCTTCCTCCTGCATGCTGAGATCTGACTGTCCTTGGTCTGCATTTCTTTCAGTAACCTATGGCTAGCCAGTCCAGCTGGCTCTTCTGAGACTCAGCAGTCTTGTTATGGATCGTTGCTCCCAAGGATCTCTCTCTCTGCATTTCTACCCTTTCGCTACCCAGCAGGAAAGTAGCAGGCTCTGAATGTGCTGCATTTTTATTCCCCCCTCAGGTCTGAATGCAGGTTGTTTCTACGCCCTGTCCTACCGCATGGTGATCCAGCTCTATCCAGTAAGTGCATCCAACCCTCATGGCCCTCTGATGCTTTCTGTTGTCCAGCACTGGCTGCCAAAGGAGAGTCTGTGAAAAATGCAATGCCACAGCACTTCTGGCTGGCTCTGGCACAAGTTGGCTGGCTGGCAGTAGAGCGTTGGTTCCTTTAGTTCTTTACACCACTCTGTGAAAAAGCTGGCGAGCTCTAGCAAATACAGCTCCTTTACACCCTAAATGACGTAATTTTCTTCTGAGAAATTCTTCCAGCAATTGCCTCCTCCCTGTTCCTGATAGGGATTTCTACTGGGATATCTGTACCAGGAGGCTGCCTAGACTCATGCTCTGGTGGCAGAAGGGTGGAGTGCCTCCGTAGCTGAGCTACTGTGGCACGCAGCCCCAACAGTAAGCTCTAGAGAGCTCCTTTCCGTGCTGCCTTATGGAGGGTCCCAATATTTCCTGGTTGATCTGGCCCAAATCCTAACACCAGGCAGCAAGCTTCATAGGGTTTATGCTGACATCTCTGAGAGTGTCTGTTCATGCTGGCCAGTGCTCACCTTTTTTTCTGGGCTGGCTCAGAGAGAAGTTCCAATTTTTCATGGGCTGGAGTAGGGTGCTGCATTGGCTCGTAGCGAGCCCAAAAGTGTTCTTGCAAAGGCTAGTTCTGTTTAATGTGTTACCAGCAGAAGACATGTATGGGACACTAACTTTGGTGTCTCTTCCCCTCTGGGTTCTCTGCACTTTGCTTCTTGTTGGCTATGACTTGGCTCCTGCATTTGTGTGAGTGTGTGTGTGTCTCACCACAGGGGGAGGAGGTGAATGCTGGCAGGATTGGACTCACCATTATACTGTCGGGGATGGTTGGGGCTTTGATCTCCGGCATCTGGTTGGACAGAACTAAAACCTACAAGTAAGTCCCGTGTTTGCCTCTGCGCCCCTGGTGACTGTGTTCTTCCCCCGTACTGTGCAAGGAGCAACCCTGTGCAGTTGCAACTCAGCAGTCTAGAGACTGAATCACTCAGAGGATTTGTAGGAAAAAAAAAATACGGTTCTTCAAAATCCAGTTAGTCTAAAGTGAAGTTTGGAGCTGTGCATTAGTTTGCACTGGGCCCATACAAGATCTGGTTATCGTGGTCGCTAGGGAGACATAGGAAGAGGATGAGATGGCCCAGCAGCTGCTTTGTTGGGGATGAGAGAGTTCTTGGCACAAGCAGAATCAAGACTGTACCAGACCATTTCTCATCCCTTACAAACCAGCTTCTGTGAATCTTTGGCTTAATGAAAGGCACATTGAATCTAATGCCCAGAGCCATTGTGTGAGGGTGCGTTGCTGTATTTAGGGCAGGCATAAGGGGTATTGGAATTGTGGGTGGATGATTCTGGGTTTGCTGCCTGGTAGGCTGGGAAGGCAGACCTGGCCAGCATACACTGCCATCTGTAAAGGGACAGCTAAGAGTCTTTGGGTGTTCTGCAGCTCCCAATCCTCAGGAACTCACATCTCACTGACAGCCTTGTAGAGTGTCCCAGGGAGAAGAGAGTGCCTTTCCTGTCTTATGTTGAGGTCTGTGTAATCAGCTTTCCAGTTTCCCTGCTGGCTTTGATAACTGTGCTATAACCTGTTGTCTGAACAAGCTGGGTGAGAGAGGGCTTTACTGCTGATATGCTGGTGATGAGCTGAAGACAACTTTGGAGTTCTTTTTCTTGCAGCAGCTTTTCACCTGGAGGAGTCCCACTGCCATTATCCTACCTGATATCTTGGGCCAGAAAAGCATGTTCTCTTTGTGGGCAGCTTAGATGAACCTGGCTAGCTGTGGGCTTGCAGCTTCTGAAGTGGCCTCTGGCCCTAGCTGTTAAGTACAGGGTTCAAAAATGGAGAGGAGATGGGCTTCTCTAACAAGAAATAATGGTAGCTGAGGGCTCCTGGAGATGCTGAGAAAGAGGAGCAGTTGACTAATACAGAGACTGGCAGGTCGCTTGTTGCTGTTTCTAGATCATTGTGTGCGACCGAGTAGTTCTCATTTGGCAAACCTGGGAAACAGAAACACAGCTGTTATGAACTGTCTCTTTCCAGCCAGGGGCTAGTGGTAAGGCAGCCTCTACTTGGCACTGCCAGGGCAGATGGTCTTCCTGATTCTCCCTAAGTCGAGCTAGGTTGCAGCTCAAAGGCTGAAGAGCCTTGCAGCTCACCAGGCAGAGCTGGGACTTGAATTTGGCAGAATGAGGTGGGGGGGGTTGGGGAATCCTGGATTTTTCTGCGGCCTCTGCTTGCTTGGAGGGACCATGTAGATGGGCATAGCTGGCTGAAAGTGCAGGAAAATAGAGCTATGCCACTCATGGAATTTATCCTACAGACCCCAGGGACTATCTGGGGATGGATTTAGCCTTAGGTAAGGAAAAACACTACTAAGAATTTGTTCTCCATTGCAGCCCACAAAGTGGATTTCTGTGGAACTAGCAAAATTTTTGAGTGCTACAGAGTCTTTATTTAGCCTCATTTAAAAGTCTATTTAAAAAAACTGTCAAGATGCCAGATGTTCTAGGTAGGTGCCCTCCCCCTTCCCTCCACTGCTCAGATAGTGTCAGGCATTAAATGGTAAGCACGTGAAAAGCAGGAAGGAAAAATGTCAAGTCCTTTTTTTAGTCAGCTTGGAGAGAGAGGGAAGCAAATGAATAGGATCCAGCTGTGACTGAGGGGAGCAGAGAGAAGTTAATAACAGAAGGAACTGCAGAGCTCTACATGCGTGTTTGATCTTTACTGTCCGATCAGCAGTTCCTTGAAAGGGTGAGGCTTTGCTAAGTCAGGCTTTCCCCATCTGTCATGCTTGGGCACCAAACAACCTTGCATTCTTGCTTTTATTTGGCGGGCAAGTCCCTGCAGCAGCCCCTGTGCTGTTCTTATTTTTGGAATTAGCGGGCACAGATTTGGCCCATACAAATACGTGAGTTACGTTGTGATGAGCGAGCAGTCCCAGAACTGGGGCTGCCTATAGTGGAATGGCTTGTTGAGAACAGCCTACTTCTTTGAAAGAACACGTTTTGACATCAAGTTAAACGAGGCTCCATGTACATCCTTTAGGTTCCTGGCTCAGAGGAGAGATGAGGTTGTGACACCTGGAGACTGCTGAATGTATTGGTATTTCTAGGGGAGTCTGGCTCAGAATCAGGAGTTTGGGGACTGGATTAATCAGCACTTTTTTTTGGCCATGATTTTCTTTTAAGGACAGTGTTCACATGGCCTTGGGTCCAGCTGGTTCCAGACAGCACTCTCCACTGTCATCACTGCATCTTTGTAAGGCAAGATGTCAGAAATATCCATCTCTCTCCATTGACTAGGCAGAGGACCCCAAGTAGTGTTTTGAACTTAGGTCTGTACAGGCCTAATGTGTGTTAAATTTTAGGGGAGTGAGGAAAGACTTGGATAGTGGAGAATGGGGCACTTGGGTGTCTTCCACTGAAAGGTGAATGCTCTCTCAGCCTAGCCTGCCATTTGTGTCTTCTTGTTGTTGCCCTTTTTCAGGCTAGTCCTTGTGTCATGGATATGCCTTCACCCTGTCGGGCTATATCTCTTATATATATATATTAATTTACCGAGGCTGTCTTTTTTTCGTTACCTCATACAGGAAGAAAGTGGCATAAAACTGAGTGCTGAAGGATGAGGGGGTGATGAAAACTAAACCAGCCCTCTCCAATCCTTCCCTTCTCCAGCATCTGACACCTCAGTGTCTTCAGCAGTGAGATCTTCCTGGGAGTATAGGGACAAGGCCTTTGTTTGGGGTCTTGCGCAGCCTGGAATGTGCCATCCTCATGGCAAAGCCTGTAGAGGCCATCTGCCATCCCATTCTGTACAGCAGAGCGCTCTGGAGCAACACACAATACCCCAGTGAGCAGATAAAACTGTGGCACATGGCTGTGGTCTCTCCAACACTCCTTGTTCATTTGTTGCTTCAGATGTTGCTTGACTCTTGTGTTTTTGTAGCTCCAATCCCCTGTGAGTCTAGTCCCATCCCTTTGGCTTTTCTCATCCAAGTGACCTTGTGAGACGTGACTGGGCCATGTCTGTTTCTTGGTCTACAGCTTCCTCTGGAGTTGTCCTTTCTGTTTCAGTCCTCTTCCCTGCTGGTGCTGGCCTTGGCTGGCTTTTTTTCCCCTGAGGTCTTTCTTTTCTCACAGTCTCTTGTGGGATCTCTCTAATCTGCCTCTTCAAAAGGGTAGGGAATGTGGCTGGGAGGGCAGATGAATGTCAGGGCAGCTTAGGTTCACCCAAGTGACACGCATGTCAGGTCCTTCACAGATCTCCCTCTGGCTCTGCTGCAGAGACTTGGCAGCTGGTGCCTTTGTAGCACTGCTTCCACATCAGTGCGCTGGGCTTCCTTCCCACACCCCAGAGCACAGAGGGAGGTTAACCCCAGTTGTCCAAAGGTGATGTAGCAGGATGCATAACTTCCAGCTCGCACTCCCTGCACTGGACAGCCTTTCAAGAAGACTGGCTGTACCTGTTCCAGACAATAATTGTTAGCTCGTGTAGGCCATCCCAGGAATAGGTTGCTAAAAACACCAGGATGCTGTGTGAATGTCCTCTGTGAAAATGCTTCTCCTTTGGGTTATTTCTCCCATAAGATGCTACGATAAGAGGCTTACCAAGCAAAACCAGGCATTATTGCATGCTCTGATGCCCTTAGGGCCACAGAGCATTCTTCTTGTCCTCTAGTGAACATAGATAGAATCATAGAATGGTTTGGGTTGGAAGGGACCTCAAAGATCATCTAGTTCCAACCCCTCTGTCATGGCCAGGGATACCCTCCACTACACCAGGTTGATCAAAGCCTCATCCAACCTGGCTTTGAACACTTCCAGGGATGGGGCAGCCACAACTTCTCTGGGCAACCTGTTCCAGTGCCTCACCACCCTCAGAGTGAAGAATTTCTGCCTTATATCTAATCTAAATCTCCCCTCTTTCAGTTTAAAGCCATTGCGCCTTGTCCTATCATTACACGCCCTTGCAAAAAGTCCCTCTCCAGCTTTCCTGTAGGCTCCCATTAAGTACTGGAAGGCTGCAATAAGATCCCCTGGGAACCTTCTCTTCTCCAGGCTGAACAGCCCCAACTCTCTCAGCCTGTCATAGTGACGAAGGCCGCTTCCTGAGAAATGCCCTGCCTGTGTGCTTGAGGCCGTTTCCAGCAGCAGGAGTTGCATTCAGGGCTATCTGCTCAAGTCCCAGTTAGGGACTGTGCTGGGCAGGGAGCCACTCAGTGCATGGTTTCAGGACGCTTCCTGGTATGTGATTTCCGCAGCACGCAAGCCTGCCGTCTGGTTCTTTCACAAGGGTCTGTCAATTTGTTTTGTCTTGCTGGAGCCTAAAGATTCAGGGAGGCAAGTCAGTGAAGAAACCTCATCGTCTCCTCGAGCCAGCTAATGTGCAATAGATGTGGTACCCATGGCAAGGTAGAACAGTTTTCTCTGTTTTGTGCCCCGCTTACTTCTGCAGTTCTGATGGAGAGCACCGCTGGCTTTAACCTGCAAGAGCTGTCTGCTGCTCTGAGCCTTCATGCGCGGGTTCTCAGCAGGGGGCTGCATGTTCTGGGAACTTCTTTCTTGCTGCTTGACTAATGACATTGCATCAATGTGAAACAAAGCCCTGACCACATCTGGTCACTAACTCGTTCATCATCTTTGCCTGGAGATGAGGAGCAAAGTGCAACTGGGGACAAGTGTCACTACAGAGTGAATCAGATACAAACTAAGAATGCTTGAACCATAAGCCTAGGAAACGATGAGATTTTTGTGGGACTATCCTGAGAGCTCTGCACTGAGACCAAAACTGGCTGTGGGAAGAAAAAAAATAAATTAAAAAAAAAATGTTCCAAGTGTCCCTGGTGGCAGAGGCTAAGCTGCTCAGGGTCACAGCCACCTCTTGGAGGCCTGCCCTGTATTTTAGCACTGACTGCTGTGTAGTTTTGGAGACTCTTCTATATGGAAGGAGCACCCAGTTCAAACTTGGTCCATTGTCCCAGCCAAACCCAGGGCATCCATGCAGCCCAAGGAGCTGTAATTCTAGCCTTGAACCCCTTTCCTAGTCAGCACAGTCCACAGCTGCTTGGTCAAGAGATGAGAGGCATAAGAACTTGCAGGACATATAAGGAACCCTGTATTCAGCAGAGAAAGTCTTTTACTTGCTTCTCAGACTAGATGATCTTTAAGGTCTCTTCCAACCCAAACCATTCTATGATTCTCTTTCAGTTTCCTGGGTCTACTCTCTAACTCCTCTGTCAGACCTTCATCTCTTCTCCTTCTGCAGCCTCCAGGCTGTGCGCCAGCCATGTAAGCAGCTTTCTATGTAATAGGTTATAGCAGAAGTAAGCAGCCCTTTTATGCTGCCTTCACAGGTGACTTTCTTCCTCCATGAAAGCATTGGAAAGAGCATACTCTAGAAGTGATATAGCATCAGAGGTTAAAGGATTTGCCTACCCCTTTGACATAAACCAAAATTACTTGTCATGGCGAAATGTCATTTAGACTTTCAGTGCATTAAATGTCTGTGGTGAACCTCTTTGTAAGCATGGCTTGATAGTTGAAGTCTGAAATTAGCTTCTCAAGCCTGTATTTGGATAAGAAATGATGTAGGAGCATGAAACTCACTGACTTCAATCACTGCCAGCAGTGAGGGAGGACAGAACCTTAGCTGGAATGTTCTGAATGGAGTGTACTGGAAACATTTTATCATGCAATATAATACTGGCTGCCTGTTTGGGGTTGGATTTTTGATGGTGGTCATTTGCATTAAAAAGGAAAAAAAAAGTGAAAATGGTTTGAGGTTTAGTTTCTTTAGTAGAATTCTAGGAACTGATACCAAACACATTCTTTAACGGATTAAGTCTAAAATTTATAGCAAGTATACAAGTAGCTGGTGGTTATACATTTAACTTCTTCCTAAAAGACAATGCCCAAAAGTTAATCTTTTGTCAACTCTGCTAACTGCTGCTTTCAAGAGCCTAGTGGAATTTCAGTCAGGTAAAGGATTTACCTTTACTTCCTCCCTCCCCTCCCTTCCATCCCAAAATTATGTGCTGTGAAGGGCTACTTGCTACCTCCTGTACTGGAAAAAGCCATGGGTTTTTTTTTTTGGATGCGAGAAGAATTTCCTTGGTGTCTAGTCAGGGATGACAACTGCTAACATTTCAGTTCTGGTAAAGCTGGCCTGGGCTGCTGTGTGTGTCTCACAGTACTGAGTCCACTGATGTTCCTCAGCATGGCCAGGCTGCAGATACGGCTATTCCCAGGATCTCCTTGACATTCTCCCTGCACATGATGTATCTTTGTCCCCTCTGCCCAGAGATGAAAGCTTCTGATTCTGCTGC